TCTCTCTTCCCACATGACTCTAGCTTGTGCCAACTTGATAAGAACTAGTGGGCACACCAGGCTCAGCCTGATCCATGCCTAAACCTCCCCCTTTTTAAAACACAGACACAATCTAGTGATGCACACTTGTAACCCCAGCACTCAGGGCACTGAGACAAGGAATGTGCAGGGTTAGGGCCAGCTTGACCCTCAAAGTGAGACCATGTCTTAAAAACAAATCAGGCAGGCATGGTGGCACACAGCTTTAATTCCAGTACTCATGAGGTAGAGACAGGTAGATTTCTGAGTTCGAGGCCATCCTCGTCTACAGAGAAAGTTCCAGGACAGCCAGAGCTACCCAGAGAAACTCTGTCTTGAGAAACCAAAGCCAAACCAAAACAATGGAGATATAATTGTACAATGAAGCCTGGAGATGGATGAGAAACACTTTCCAAGACTTTAGGGATCCTAACTTCTCTAAACTGCCTGTGGCTATGGGAGTTGAGCACAGTAGTCCCACATTGCTTATTGTTGATGTGAGTGGGGTCTCTGCTTGTCACACATCTGCTACTTGCTTTTCAGTGTCTAATTCATGAGCTTGTTAACACTGGCCTCTCCAGCCCTGTGATGTCTTTGGCCAATGGGAAACACATCAGTACACGTAGGAGGAGGAAGAACAAGGGATATAGATGCTGAAAATAGAAGTGGTCCATGGCTGTGGCTTCTCTGTGAGATGTTTTCTCTCTGGGTTCTAGAGAATGTCCACCCCCTTTCTCTTAGTGTGAACCCTGCACACTCCGCTGAGTGTGGGACCATTTGAGAGCCGTCTATCTGCAGGATGTTTCTAGTCCCTCTCAGTGTGGTTAGCCGCATGAGGAGTCACATCAGCTCAGGGAGAAGTTTCTGGGCTCAGGTTTCCTGGTTTCTAGTTTAATGGTGTTTTCTTTGACTGTCTGATTAAAGTGGAACTAGTTTGTGTAGCAATCAGCTCCAGTGGCTTCTTGTGTTCTAGACTGGTATTTTCTAAACTGTAGAGCTGTGGAACTGATTTAAAGTGTCACGACCCAGCACTGAGAGGGAAATGGAACAGAAATGATTGGAGAGCATCACATATGGTATGGTTGGTGTTGTTTCTCTAAAGTTTGTCTTTAGTTGTCTTTGTGTGTGTACATGTGAACATCTGTATGAGTCTCTGTGTGTGTATGTCTGAGTATTTAAGTGTATCTCTATGGTGTGTGTCTCTATGTGTTATGTTTGTCTGTATGTCTGTGTCTGCATGTGTCTGCGTGTGTCTGTGTGTGTATGTCTGAGTATTTAAGTGTATCTCTATGGTGTGTGTCTCTATGTGTTATGTGTGTCTGTGTGTCTGTCTGTGTGTGTGTGTGTGCGCGTGTCTCTATGCGTGTGTGTCTCTGTATGTGCATATGTGAGTGGGTGTCTATGTGTCTGTGTGTATGTGTGTGTATGTATGCATCTGTGTGTGTGTGTGTGTGTGTGTGTGTGTGTGTGTGTGT